GGATAGAGTTCGCGATAAAATGAGTGTGGTCTATGAGTGGTGCCAGGCCGTGGCTTAAAGAGATATTGCATCCAACCACGACGTTCGGCCAAGCCACGCCACAAGGAATCGGTGCGCACTTTGCGTTCGATCAGCTTTTTCCAGAGCATGCCTTCGGAAATAACACGCAACCATTCTTTGCATACCAATTCGGCCGACTTGAGCGAATCTGCATCCAAATAGGTGAGTATGTTTTCGGCAATGTGATCGAGACCTTTCTCTGTGAATAAAAAGTTGGAATTTTTTGTTTCGTTTTGAATTAATGTCTTAAGTAAAAAATTTAAATAAAATAGCTATGGAAAAAGTCGTTGGTAATACAAAATAAGTCATACGAGTATACACGCAAATGTATCAAGTAAGACAAAATAGGACTAAGGATTATGGATATATGAATAGGGTGGTCCAAAAATACATGCGGGGGAAAAATAGTTTAAAATGTTAAGCTATCTTCCCCTAAGATTTTCCTAAATGGAAAAAAGAATGTCCATATTTTTTTGTTAAAAAAAGTATATTTATAGATGAAGTTTTACATGTTGCGATCACATATAATGATTATTTTAAGATTTTTATTTTTTCGCTCAGAGATAATATATATTATTGAGTTTTATTTTTCCAATTAAAAATAATGATTATTTATAAAATTTAAAAGACCGTACAGACGCAATATACTGAAATGTCGACCTGAAAACTTTGGGACTTATTCCTTTTATTAGGGTGTCGCTACCTCTGAAGAAGATACGTCGGAAATGACGCTGGTATAGCTCCTTTGAGTTTTTTGAATAACCATTATTTATAATTGAAAAAATAAAACTTAATGTTAGCACTATCTTTGATCGAATAAAAATCAATAATTATTTCCTTTGAGCGAAAAAGTAAAACTTAAATTAATTTTTTATCTTTAATCTTCATTGGATAAACTCGAAAAATAAAAATCATTGTAAATTACAATAGGACGCACGAAAACACAAATACGTATAGTTAAAATTGTTGATTACAACTTGTAGATTTTTTTGGTTAAAATTTAAAAATAATGATTTTTTCCGTTCCTAAAAGAAAATATTTATTTGCTCGGAATAGTTAAATGGAATTATACTTTTAGCGACAGAGTTGTTAAGTAATGTACCCAAAAAGAAAACGCTTGTATGTATTTAAATACACACATACATACAGTGCCGAACAGAAGTATTGGCACAGTGAAATTTTTCGCAATATATGCAAAGTTTTTTATTCTAACTTATTTTCGTTTTTGTTATTTTTATGGCCTTTATAACAATTATATACACACTATAACAATTTTCGATATTTTTTAACAAATAAATTGTTCATTCTACACAGAAAACATAATAATAAAATCTCTAAATTTTGTGAAAACTTAGAAAAATTAATTAAATTTGGGCACTAATTTGCAACTTTTTATTCAGATTTTTTAGAAAAATTCTAAGTATGCAACGCGAATTTATAGCAACTTTAAACTTGCATTTTGTCATACTAAAATTGAATGGACTATAAAACTGCATACTTACAATTTTTCTAAAAGATCTGAATAGAAAGTTGCAAATTAGTGTGCAAATTTATTGAATTTTCCCGAGTTTTGCACAAAGTTTAGAGATTTTATTTTTATGTTTTTTGATGTAAAATGAACTATATTTTTATAAAAAATTATCGAAAATTAATTTGAATAAAAAACTTTGCATATATTGCGAAAAATTCACTGTTCCAGTACTTTTGTTCGTCACTGTATGTGTGTTATTTGATTTTTTATAAATTTAATCTCGATGAAATACATTTTATTATATTTACACAAATTTATACATACAAATTTATCAATGCAATTAACTTAATTTTAAATGCAACAAAACATACATAAGTAGAACTTCCACCAATGGGTGGGGACAAGAGGAATGATTAATGTTAAATTGTGCTAAAAGCGAATATAAAATGGTTTAAAATTTCCATAACCCAATTTCAGTGCCAACTAGAAGCTTCATTCAGTTTTCATTCTACATAACAGTTATGTTCAATATGTATTACTTTAAAATGCGTTTATGCACTATTAACTTCGAAGGTAAATAGGCGACTACATACCTTATGTATATATATGAATCTATGTCAGTTGATTGAATGCTTTCTTTCTTTATCTTTTTTTTTGTTGTTGTATGTATACATATGTATGTATGTAAGTACACACACATATTGGCAAAGTCTGCACTTGGTGCAAC